ATTCTTACTTTACAGTATTTTTTCACACCTGCCTAAAACTTTTGCACAGTACTGTATGTCTATGAGAGATATATCTGTATTTCAGAAAACCACTAGATTATGTATAATTTCTAGGACAAAATGCATTTCTGTAAAGGTCATGGGCGTTACAGTGGAAGGGTGAAAACTTATTAAAAGGCAATGAGACAGGATCACCTTGGAGAGAAAATAAGTGGGGAAATGTGCAAGCTCCCACTCACGTATTGTTGCTTTTCCTGTTGTCACTACACTAAATTGTAGACCTTAAATGACAAATAATTGACAATATCACAGATATTTATGAAAGAAGCCCAATTTCCTCCTCCTCCTCCTCAAATTAGTACACTTTCTGACTGTTCTCTGACACACCCACAGCAGTCCTTCTGGACCATATATGATTTTTGTTTGCTTTTTCTGACACATTTTTGGGTTTGTGTTTGACACAAACATTTTTGACACAGACATTTGACACAGACATTTTTTGCACCAGTTATCATATTTAAGATTATCCTGGCATCTTTATAAAGCATGACCATTGCATTTCATGGAGGCTTGTGCAGGACAATTTCACATCAGAACATTCAGGCAGTCTCTTGGAAGAATATGACTCCCCTCAAGACTGGAATCAAGATGTTTTCCTGGATGAACCCTTGATTTGATCTAGTTTAGCTTTTTCATACCCTCAAGCAAGCCACCTAAAGCTGAGGACCAGCTCTTGGCTCCTGAAGAGATGCCCAGATGTCTCAAAGAAAAATCCCTAGCATTTTAAATATGCTTATGACTCTGGAAGTTTTCAAAAGATCTACAGTACGCAAGTAATGGGGGGCAGGAGTGGTTTAAAAGGAAAAACTGAATGGACAATGTGGCACATTGTTCATTATGAAAGCAGAGGGGCTGTCCATTAACCTTAATGACATTCTCATTTGATAGATAAAGCTACCCTGAGCTGACTCTATCTGCACTTAGCAGACACTATTTACTTCTGAGCAGTATTATTAAGATTGTTTATAACCAAAGCACTCAGAACAGCCAGCACAGGGGCTGCCATTTAGAAGTGGCTTTAAGTAGCTATTTTAGCTTTAGGCACCCCCGTCCAAGGCACACAGTAGGCGTTCTGTATCCTTATGGGCCCTCTGCTCTTTTGCTGCCTGTACAGATTTGCTCAGAGTCAGATAGACTTATTTTATTTTTATTTATTTTTTTAATCATTCAGAGATTGCTAGAACTTGATTAGCACTCTCTCTGCCCACAAGGGCAGGAATGCAAAGCAGAAGGCTTGTAAGTCAGGCCTGTTAAGCAGCTAGACGTGTCCACATATGTTATCAAGAAGCATGTGAAATTTAGAGCCAGGTTCCTACAGTGTGTATTTTTCACCCAATGGAGAGCACATTTGGGATGCAGTATTTAGATTACTTTCTAATCTACCTGACAGGTTAGGGGGCACACATAGGTATAAATCTGCAAGCACAGCTTAGCATTAAGGATTATACTACACTAGGAGAAAAATGGAATCCTTACTAAAAACTCCATATACAGTAATACCTTGGTTCACGAACACTTCTGTTTATGAACAATTTGGTTCGCGAACAGCAGCGTTCACAAAATTTTGTTTCCATTCACGAACTCCGCATCAGGTGACAAACACGACCCGTGGCCATCTTCCCTGCTCTGACACGTGGTCATGGCTTCCTCTAGGCAAGATCACAGTCGCAGACAGACGCTTGCTGTGA